CACTTATATGTGGCATAAAGAGCAAGGAGAGTCTCAGAAAAAAGACAAAGCTTGCAATCAACCATAAATTTGTGCTTCCAGGAGGGAAGGCTAGGAAAAGCAAAAACAGGGGAGGCAGGAGCAGAAAGGACTCTGGTGCTGTGATGATGGGAGAACTATGGGGACCACACCTGAGAAGAGAAATTAACAAGAATGTTAAGAAAAATAAATAAATAAACTTACACTTCCATGTTAAAAAGCGAGAGATGTTGGGCCCTCCCTGGTGGCGCAGCGGGCTAAAGCACAGCACTAAGAAGCTTAAGCCACTTCCGCATGAGTTCGATTCCCACCTGCCCTGGAGGAGATCCACATGGCGAGGCAGACCTCTCCTGACCCGCCCGCTGCTCCCCTCAGCAGTGTACCTCATTAATCTGCCTGTTCTGCTCCCCACTCTGTCTCTGGTGAATCCTCTCACCCTCCGCATCTCTGGCCTGTACCCCAGTTCTGTATGAATAAATAAATCTTTAAAAAAAAAAAAACGAGAGATGTTTTGGGCAAGTACGAGGATGTGTTAACTTATGGTTACATGACTCAACAGTTTCTTCCTATATCTTACTCATTCTTGAGGAGCAATGGCAGAAGTCCATCTTCTGAAACTGATGAATGTGGGGGAGAAGGGTTCATGCCCATAGAGGAGAATCTTACTCTAATTGTAGCCTTGGGTTACAATTATTTGGCAGTGTTAGTGTCCCCAGCCTTTTGGAGATAAAGGCAACTCAGAAATTCAGGACACATTAAAAGAATTAAAAGAAGCAAAAATGGATTGGGGGGAAAGAAACATGGATTTGGCTGAAGTTTCTTGGCTAGTGCCAGTGCATTTCATACATAAAGTATGAAGAGGCTTTTCTTAAGATGACTAGAGTTTCAAATTTCTGTTGATGGACCCTCCTCCTCCTCGGGGTAGCCCTTTCTTTTTCTGCACTCCCAGTTCCTAGCCAGCCTAGACACTCAATTCAAAGCTGTTGTTTGCACTTTCTTGGATGTCAGATAAACTGTATCTGCAACTACAATCATCAAAAAGTTAAGTTTTTTTTTTTTCTTTAGGGTATGAAAGCATTTTAAGTTGGCTACACACACAACAAAAAGCCCTCTGCATCAGACAGCAGTGAGTGTCCTCCTAAGCGTAAGTTTGTCCTGGCAGGACTCTTGGTGTCCAGAAGCTGCATGTACTGCTTTAGAAGTGGGACAAACACCTGTTCTCCCTTAGTATCAGCAGTTTCTCATAAGCCACATTTGCGAACCCAACCCCTACCTTGTTGTCTCAACCAAGGCTGAAAGGGTTTTGTGTCTTATCTGTGTGAGAGAAAGGAAGACCACTTGATGAACCGTAGATTTGAAAACAAATGTCAACAATCTCTGAATCTTTTTTTTTTATTAAAAAGTTTATTTTTACATCATTTTGCAAATCTCTGAATCTTTTAACCTCCACAATTTTTCATATTCAACTTCATCCTTTAATTCAACCTGCTCTTCCACAAGCACATTAAAAATCTAAATATGGGCCCTCCCTGGTGGCACAGCGGGTTAAAGCACAGCACTGAGAATCTAAAGCCTCTTTCGCGAGTGTTTGATTTCTGCCTGCCCCGGAAGTGACCACATGGCGGC